TTAAAGAGACAGGGTCTCATCATGTTGCCCAGGGTGATCTCAAACTCCTGGACTCAAGCAATCCTTCCCAAAGCACTAGGATTACAGGGGTGAGCCACTGTACCTGGCCCACGATGCTCCATTTATTCAGCAATGTATTCTCTTTCCGCATTCCAAATTGTGCAACCGCGCTGGTAACCGAAGCGCACTTATCTTCTAATTGACTAGGGAAGGAAATGTTGTCCTTCTTACCCACAGAGGCCAAGTTCCCGAAGGTTTCCAGCATCACATCTCTGTAGAGCTGCTTCTGGGAAGGACTCAGCAAAGCCCACTCCTCTTGGGTGAAGTTCACAGCCACATCCTCAAAGGCCACTGAGTCCTGAAATATCCCACAAGTGTGGAGGAGGAGGGATGAGACTCAGCACTGGGGATCTCTATTCAATACACAAGTGGTCTTATGACGCCAGCTCTCCACTCACTCACTCCAAGACTGAGTCATCACCCGTCTCCTCTCTATCCACACACACTTCCTCCCTCACAGCCGTTCAGGCGTTAGAACTGACCTACTCAGAGAGGCAGCCGCAGAAAGGAACACCCTCTCCATGGTGGGTCCAGGGAGGCAGCCGTGCTGCTGCGTTGCCCTGAATGCTCATTGCAGAGCAGCTCTCTAATGCCCGTCACCACAAACTCCCACAACCTGGTGTGCAGACAGCACTCATTTTAGCAGTCCTGGGGCTGGGAATCCTTAGAAAGGCCTGTTCACCAAGTTTCATCTTCGCTATTATCAGGGAACTTAGACTACAAGAGGGATCCCATCAACCTAAGTGACAGAGTGGCTGGCTGTGGCTAAACGGTTTATGGCAGTGACAAACAGGATGGTACTGACTGAATCGTTTTCCTTCCGAAAGCCTATTCTTTTGTTCCCTACTACAAGCAGTGCCTAGGGGACCAGCCCCCAAAAAGCACTCCAGGCACGGAGTCTCAAATGAGCTTTCCTGGTAGACAATATATCACATATGTTGTACAACGTGTCCACTGGGGCAATGAGCTCATCCCAAGTATTTATGCCAAGAGAGAACACCTGGAAGCTTGCAAGCGGTTTACTCTCGACCAAATTTAATCAAGTGGTAAATAAGACTCATCATCGCCGGGCGCGGTGGCTCAAGCCTGTAATCCCAGCACTTTGGGAGGCCGAGGCGGGTGGATCACGAGGTCAAGAGATCGAGACCATCCTGGTCAACACGGTGAAATCCCGTCTCTACTAAAAATACAAAAAATTAGCTGGGCATGGTGGCGCGTGCCTGTAATCCCAGCTACTCAGGAGGCTGAGGCAGGAGAATTGC